ATTATAAAGTTGTAATAAAAGGGCAAAACAGGATTGTCCCTGCCCTCTCTGGTTTCCTGTCTTGCCACATCATCTATTTTTCATGTACATGCATTTGTACTTCCCAAACTGTAACAATTATGAACTAAATAAACCTCCTATCTTTATAAATATCTGTGATCAGAGATTTCATTATACTAACAGAAAAGACTAATACCATTGAATTTTAACAGTTTGAAATATATTTTATAAAAATTATGACATAATGTGATATGAATTTAGAACAGGCATGTTTTATTAGAAAAACTATAATATCTCCATTATGAAGTTACTGTTATGTAGTTAGCTGTTTCAACTACACAGAATATACCTGAAATAGAAAAAGATCTTTAAATAAGAGATCTCAATTAGATCATGCCAGAAAGCTCACTGATTACTGCTAAGAAGTGCTTTTTTCTCACACTATAAAATGTCTCTTACTATAATGTAGCAGTGTCCACCACTTTGGTTGCTGAATTTTCTAGTCCAAAGACAAATTAGTTGAGGGGAAAGATCAGGTGTCAGACATAGAGCAATAAATAAAGTGTTAATCTAACTATACAAGGAAGAAACAAATTAGGACAAGATTTTTTAAGCTGCTATCTGCAAGAATTTTAAAAGTGAGATTTCATTCACCTAACAAATATTTATTCGGGTGCATGATGTGACTCTTACTGATTCAAATGCTTAAAAAATCGGTAGCAGTTCATCAGGATAGCCACAAGAAGCACGACCTTCATGAAAGTCACCTTTGAACCCAGAAGACAAATAAATAAGTAAAAATAATAAATAAAATAGCTTGTATTCGTTATATGACTTGAATAGGAAGCAGCCTGTACTACTATAATTCAATTCAGTGTCAACTGTACAAAATCACGGTGCTACCAATCGGTCATGTTGGGATTCATCTAAGGCATAATTTCAAAGAGCTATTCTTGACAACAAAATTCTTCATAGCCCTCAATCAGTTATATACATATATCTATAGCAGTTGTGTGACTGTTTAAGTGTGATTAATTTTCCAAAACTGGGTTCTATAACACAAGCCCAGATAGCATTTGTTTTTGTGTAACACTACAGTCTGGTACCTGGCACCATGAAGTCACTCCGTAAGCATTTTTTAAATTAAGTAAATTATAAGAAAAACTGAGTTCAGTATCATCCAAGAAAGATACTGAATAATAAATTTTATCTGAAGGTTTCCTCCCAAATGGTTTAACCAAAAGTTTTTGGCACTTTTTTTGTTTGTAAGTTCTTGGCACTTAAGTGGAACTTGCATTCCTCTTACTTTTGTAAGGAATCTTATTCTTTCCATTCTGACTTCGAAGGTATGCTTTGAAGTTACTTAGACAAACTGAACAAAGCTCACTTCACTCTATTCATTAATCCTTTTGTTGAAAGCTATTACATAGCAATATTTTTGTATCCAAAAATATTACAATGGCAATGCTATAAAAAATATATATATATACACATATACATATAGTATTGGAACTTTTATAATTTTTTGTTGCAATTTAAATGAAAGATTAAGATTCCTCAGAAAAGTAACATTTCATAAAGGAATATTAGTTCCAGAATCTATATCAATCTACTAAAGTTAAAGAACTGAGGTATAAAGAGATTATTTGACCTGGCCAAGGTCATAAAATGCCTAAATCAAATGAAAAACTAAAAAATTGCATATTTCATAAGTACACTACCACAAAAGAATTATGATATAAAAAGCCATAATTAATTAAGAATAAATCACTTAAAACTTTTTTTCGGTAACTTAAAAACTGGGTTAAACAGCTGCCCTTCCACATTTTAAACACTCTTGTAGGTATTATTATAGAAAATTAACAACTTTCTATTATTTTTAATATGTCATTTGACTACACTTACTGTATTTCTTCAACTTCCTATTATTGTTTACATTATTATGTCTGACTTTGTATTAGCTTCTGTATTTCAGCTGAAAATGTACTTCAAAATTCACAACTTAATATCAAAGTGCTTTTCGGATCATAATATTTTTCATTTTCTTTAGTTGCCCTCATCTCTTTCCAGAAGTATGTATAAACACTTTTACTGGAAAAGACTAAACAAACATCTTGGAGTAAGATAGATTTATCACATAAAGGAAAGGTCAAGGAATATGTACTCAATGATTGGATTAGAACTTATTACCAAATTTTAAGGTTCTATGAGAAAATGAGATTTAATTTTGTTTCTTCCCATTTAAAATTACAGATCTTATACTTGTGGGACTAGTCAAATTTTGCTCATAAATTTAGGAGAATCAATGTCATTTAAATATTTTTAAATGCTATGAAGGAATCTGTATGCTATACATCCTTTTTGGGATATGTAATTTATATAATTTGTATCTTTTAACTTTAAAATTGTGAAACACAAGAATCATGCAGAAAAGTACATAAAATATCTCACACTTAAGTTACAGATACGAAACAATGTCCCATTGTCCCCAAGTCACCCTTCAGTTAAAGAAATATGACAGTATCAACACCCCAAAACCCACCCTTTCATGGGGAGCTTCATTTTAATGTATTTTTTTAAGATTTATTTTTTATTTTTATTGCAAAATCAGATATACAAAGAGGAGGAGAGACAGAGAGGAAGATCTTCCATCCAATGATTCACTCCCCAAGCCCGCAACAGCTGGAGCTGAGCCAATCCAAAGTCAAGAGCCAGGAACTTCTTCCGGGTCTCCCACGTGGGTGCAGGGTACCAAAGCTTTGGGCCGTCCTAGACTGCTTTCCAAGGTCACAAGCAGGAAGCTGGATGGGAAGCGGGGCTGCCAGAACTAGAACCGGTGCCCACATGAGATCCTGGTGCATGCTAGGCAAGGACTTTGGCCACTATGCTATCGTGCTGGGCCCATTTTTACTTTATTTCATGATAGTCTAAAGGAACAAGTATATTTTTTCCTATCATAAGACTCAAAATTTTCTGATAGTTTGTGTATGTTCTCTACTTCTAGTTCCTTTCCTTCCTTCTATCTTAATGATGATGCTTAACTTCATTCTAAAAACAAAAATATTTTCTTTGAGCTTATGTGTCTACTTGGCCATAACTTTTATAGTCAGTGGCCCTGATGTACAATCTTTATTCCATCTCTTGACAACATCTTTAACTCTCTAACTAATTAACTCTTCTCTTTATCATAACATCAAAGTGCTTTTGCTAAGGTCCAAATTTATAACTAACTGACAAAAACAGGAAACATTTTTAATGTCTTTGGGCATTTGAAACAAAAAACCACATTCTCCTCAAAATTTTCTACTTTTCTATCAGTGTTGACTATGTGGCATGCAGCACATAGTTATACAACAAAATCTTGGAATGAATTATATATAAGGAAGCATTCTCAGCCCTCACTATACATTCAGCATTTTTTCCTACAAGACTCCTGCTTACACCAAATTCTGAGGCTACTCAGATCCCTTGCATAAAATGCCATATTTGCATTTAACCTTTGCATATGCCCCTGTAAATTTTAAATTGTTTCCAGGTTACTTGTAATACCTAACACAAGGTAAATAATTGGTGTGTTATATTGTTTATGGAATAACAAGAAAAAAGTCCACACATGTTTAGCACATAAAAAGCTTTTTCCATGAGTATTCTCAATACAGGTTTAGTTGAATTTGTGGTTCAAAACTCTAGCTATATAAGGTCAACTACACATTAAAATAAAAAAATGCATATATATACATGTAATTATATGTGTAATAGTGTGTGAGTCACTATAAAATGGATTTAACCTCAAATCACAATTCGGACAATTTTATTTGTGTCTTGGTTCAACTTGTACTTCATTTAACAACCTTGCTGATAAATACACTCTTATAAATGAGGCTATTATTCTTGCCCTAAGCAATATATGAGAATTTTTACTTTTAGAGTCATCAGTGATACAAGGAACGAACGTGAACTCAACAAAAAATGACAAAGCAATAGAAGAATTAACCATATAATAGGATAATAAATAAATGACTCAGCACAAATAAAACTGTAACCAAATTACATTAGGCTTTCAGAATAAATATTTAGAAAATTTTATCTTAAGATTTACTTTATATCAACTAATTTCACAAATTGATGTGCATTTTCTCTTTATGTTATATTAAAAAGCTTATAGTAAATCAGAACTATTCAGAAATATATTTCCCAGTATAAAATTGCATTCATGAAAACAAAGAAGCCAATGTTATATTTTATCTATTTGTGAATAGATGAAACCTACAATCTACGTACAAAGTGATAGTCTATTAGTTTACTTTCTAATAGCAAGTTTAAAAGAAAAAGATCAAAGAGAAAACTAAGCAAAATAAGACAGAACAAATGTCATTCCCAAAAAAGGATTAAGATTCATAGTATATAAGAATGTACAAACTGCATAATACTATATAGCATATTGCTTCTCTATGATATACTGATGTTACACATATAATAAGTTGTCAGTCAATACACGTACTTTATTATGATAAAATATTTATTTTATAAAAAGTAAGATATAGAAGAATTATAATTTTAGTACAATTTTGTAGGTGCTGTCTCCCAAATTTAGGCTTAAACTAACATCTAAGTCTACTTTTCTCAAAATGCATTGCAAGGACAGTATGAAGTTCAAAAGTAAAAGGTATAAAATATAGTAAGTAAGTAACATTAGCAAATTATGCAAGTATCAAGGAATAGTAACCCAGGCAGTTCTCCTCTGGCAAATGCTTTCACTATTTTTTAGAAACATTATAAGCCTTCCTGGAAATCTTTCTAGTTCATTACTAGATTGTTACCTTAATTTTATAAGGTTGATGTTATCTAAAATTATTGTCATAGTATCTTGAATGTACTCTAGTATTCCTTTACACAGAAGAAAAATAGCTGTAATAATTAAAAGATAAAACTAAACAAAATTAAAAGGAAAATAGCAAAATTAAGTTCAGGAAAAAAAAAAACTATCCGCTGAAACTTACCTTTTGGAAACGCCATTAGCCAGATATTTATGGCTACAGGATCTGGAGGAGAGGGGTGATGGAGTGGGGGACAGGTTGAGAGGGGCGATCAAACTGTTGATGATCTCAGTCAACTGCGCACTCTGTAAGAAAACAATCCTTTACTATTAGGAAATATGGCAGATAGAAAAGGCTTCTAGTGCCTACTAAATACCTGAGTCCTCAGGGAAATGTAAATGCTGACACTCCAGTCAAATATTTTAATCTACAAGGATTTCCACGATTAGCTTTTCCATTACAAATAAATGCACAATGTTAAGGACTCATCCTTTTCACACCATTTGTGAAGTTGCAGCTGTTTCACCTACCCATTCCATCTTTTAAAATGCACGAGCCCGACTAATTGCATCATTATAACATTTCCCTCCAGGCAAATTAATATTAAAAAATCATAGTCATAATTTACCAGTATCAACCTTGCATTAGGAAATATACTACACATCAAACATATCAGGGCATTCTTTCCTTTCTGTACAACTGAAAGGGTAGATAATATTAGAGATACTCACATTACTATTATTAATTATTATTAATAGCAGATTAGAAAATTACATCAAATTATATAAAATAAAGGGATATTAATTCACTTGATCAAGGATTACAAAACTGACAAAAACTGGAAGTAGAATTCAAATCTAGATTTAAATCTAATACTATGCTGTTTCTCAATATTTCTCCAATTAAAAAATTTCAAGAGTTTCTGGGGAGTTAGCCAAGATTTTCTTTGACCCTTATCACTAACTTACACACACACACACATCCCCATATGTCACAATCATTCTGAAATCAATAGTCTACAGAAACAATAAACAAAAGCCACAAATATTATACTTCCACATGACAGTCAGCCACAAATATTTCTCTAACTATTTTATAACTATGTTTGTAACTGTTCATTATGGAAAAAATGGAAAATACAGAGAAATTTGATATCATTGATAATATCTTATTATGCATATTTCCCTCTAGAATAAGTTCTCTGAATATATGTGAGCATAAGTATATGTTCAACATGCACACACACACACTTTTACTAAAATTTTACATCAACTTTCTAAAATCTGGCTTTCTCAGTTAATAAAGAGAGAGAGAGAAATTTCACCACCTTAACTGACTGAAAAAATTCCAGAATAATATTTATACACTATATCAACATACTCCTTCATGCTTATAGGAGTATTTGAAATAATCATCTTGACACGTATTTAATAAACATGCTGCTGGATATAATGGCACTAAAGAATATTATAGAAATAAGACTATCAATTGACTCCTTAGGAAATATTTCATGAATAAGTTCTTGAAATGTTTTGACCACTTAATTTCTTGATAGTATACACGTAATGACTTCATTTTTAAAATTATTCAAATTTCAGATGAAAGCCCATTTAAAATCAACCACATAGCTTTTTACTCATTTATTAAGTATTTATCAGTTTAGTCATTGAGTTAAACTTATGGTGTACCTCACAGTTTCTAGTATGAAACACTGAAACATTGAAACTCTTCTCATTGTTGCACTTGCAAACAGATCATTAAGTCCCCTGGAGCTGGCTGGTTAGTTGGGTGTGATTTATTGGCCCACAAAACCTGCACTACAACCTTGAGGTTTTCCCTAACAATCTACACTAGCACAATAAAATCTCACCTACTGAGTCTATGTGTGGGCTAGGAAATTCACAGTATACATGAAAATAAGAAAACAAAAATAGAGGAGGGATTATTTCAACTCTTAAAAATTAATCAGCTTACTTGGTATGCATAACATGCTTTCTAATGTAAATATAAGAGACACTTATTTGAGATTACTTATAGTACTTAATATAAGGCGCCTTTTAAATCACCTAAATTGTTAAAAATAAGTTACATTTTAATTTGTGAACAAAATATATTTACTAACAATGCAAATTTGAATACTATGAATCCATAAGGTATTTTTAAAATGGCACAAGTCTATAACTTTATAGTTAATATATGACACCTTCATATTTTAACTACCACGTCTAACTAAACTACTGTAGCCAACTCAGGCTTACCAAGAACCATGGAATGTAATTATCTCATACATTATCTCAGGAAAATCAGGTGTAATACTCAGTTGGCTGCTCCTTGCTCCTGTGTTCTTCAACAAGCATTTGAAAACAACTTATTTTAAAATAAAATTTGGCCTGTAACTACATTGCTACCATATTTCATGAGAAAATGTCTTGATAGACAATTTATTAATGAGCTCTCCAAATGATGGTTGATGTCCCTTTTTCCACCTTTTCCCTCTACTGTCTCTAAACTAAGACAATACTATCGCTCACTCAACTCCTGCTTTCCTATACTACCTAAGCCTTTGACATTCACATCAATACAGATCAAAATGTAAATCTTAGCCAGAGCCAGCTTCTTGGGAACACCATCCATACAAACACACAACTTTTGTCTGCTCAGTTTTCCATTTTATTAATTTTAAAAACAAAAAATCTCCTCCAATTTCATTTTGCACTGGTCTGCTCAAATTAGCCACTTAAAATGTAGTCTCAAGTTTAACCAAACAATTGGTGATACCATGGAGAGAGGAAAAGAAAGTATAAGAAATCGCTTTCAATTCTTCTGGAATTGTGATATGCCAGGAATTTAACCAGCTTACTTTCTAGACCTACAGTTCCAACTGTTTCCAACTGTAGGTACAGAGCTACAGTTGGAAAAAATAGATCTGACTGAGCAAGCAAATAACTTGTTCTGCAGGTGAAAGAACTTGGGTTAAATGAAGGTGGATTGATTCCACAGGATGATGGCAATGAGAGAATGCAGTGAGAATATGAGAACATAACTAAAACTAATTTAAGACACTTTACATGATAAAATGCACTCCAAGTTAGCATGCTACTTATGCAGTTTTCCAGATTACAAAATACTTATGAAAAAGTTTTCATTTTGCACTCTGATTAAGGAAAATTCCAGAAAACTAAATTTAACAAATATGGAGCAGAAGAAATTATTTAATATTTTGGCTTGTCAAAAATAATACAGCAATCTGGTAATAAAATTTCTTCACAAAATATGTTGAGAAAGTCCAGAAAAGTCATGTGTAAGTAGGTATCAATTTATATGGTGTCTACAGGGAACAGAGTAATCTTGCTGCTGTAATCAAAACTGGCTGGGCACTGGCAGATCCAGGTCAGTTTCAAGGTAGAATAGTCTTAATTAAAATCAATGGGTTGATATCAAATAACAGGAGGAAAGGACAAAATAATAGAATTTCCAGGGTTATTCCCAATAGGATTTAGGGAACAGGGAACGCTTTCGAATGGAAATAATTTATGAGAATTTTTAAAGAGATTTATTTATTTTACTGGAAAGTCAGATTTACAGACAGAAGAGGAAACAGAGGAAGATGTTCCATCCACTGGTTTACTCCCCAGGTGGCTACAAGCCCAGGAGCCAGGAGCCTCCTCTCAGTCTCTTATGTGGGTGCAAGGTTCCAAGGCTTAGGACCGACCTCTACTGATTTCCCAGGCCACAAACAGAGAGCTGGAAAGGAAGTGGAGCGGCAGGGATATGAACCAGCGCCCATATGGGATCCTGGCACATGCATGGCGATAACATTAGCCACTAAGCTTTCGTGTTGGGCCCTATGGGAATTTTTTTTTTTTGAGATTTATTTATTTGTTTCTATGAAAGGCAGAGTATCAGAGAAAGAGAGAGAAATAGATCTTCCTTCTGCTGGTTCACCCCCCAAATGCCCTCAACTGAGGGACCAATGCCAGGAGTCATCCAGCCATGTTTCAGAATCCCTGGTCTTTGGGCCATCATCTGTTGCCGCCCAGGCACATTATTAGAAAGCTGGATGGGAAGTAGAGGCAGGACTGGATTCCACACTCCTTGAACTTACTGTGTTACAACGGCCATCCTTAGCAGAAGGTTTCTTTGATTTTTCACTTTCATGCCCATTTTTTTAAATAAAGAAATTCAGGTTCTAACATTATCTTCCACTTCAAATTTCAGTTAATAAGTCAATGAAACAAGAATTTAGATTTATTAACTAGCCCAACACTTTACTTCTGAAAAAAATAAAGCTTAATGATGAACAATTTTGCTAGCAAAATGATTTGTCAACACATAATTGAATTATTACCCAAGGCAATGTGTCAGTATTTTCTATAAAATAAATAATGTTAAGAATATCAATACAAAGTGTTTAATTATATTTATTACAACATCCAATTGTAATTGCTCATATTCCAGACACACATATAATCATGCTTATTTCAATAATTTATAAAATGGAATATAATCCTTTTCCTACCCAGAAACTTGGCTCTGATTTTACCTGCTTTTCTATGTTTCGAAGAAGTAATGTAGGACTGCTCGGAGACATCTCAAAGTCCTGTTCTGGTAAAGCATCTTGACTTTCCTGCAGCATCTGAGGAGTCCCTGCAGTGCTCAGTGAAGCTGCTTGATCAAAAAAGTGCATTTGTTTTTTCGAATTGTCTTTTGGAACTTGACATTCTTCTAGAATCACTGTCCCCTAGACAAATAGCAAAGAAATTATTAAAATAAAAACAAATAGATTACTAAATTACATTTAAAACTACATTATACTTGAAACTACTCTTATTATCTCTTGAAAATCACTATATACATTTTACATGAAATGAGAGTTTAACTCTGAAAGAAATTGGCAGTTAAGACATGTAACTAAGATAATATACATAAAAAATAATAATATATGTCTGATGGTTGGATTTTTAAAATATTTTCAATATTTATGTACATGAAGAATTTCTCTTTTCACTGTTTTAAATACTACCATTCAAAGCACAAAATAGTTAGAATAAAAGGCTTGTTATACTGAGAATATGAACATTTCAGACTGAAATTTAAAGTATTCCCTGATATAATTTTTTGACACTCGGTTGCATTTGAGTTTTCTATTTGGGCAGTCCCAATTTTATAAATTAAAAACTTCAAACTTACAATGTCCAAACAATCAAACCCGATATACTTCTCCAGAGAACCCTACTGGGCTCTGTCTCTGCTACTTCCTGTCGGCATCCATAGACTAGGTTGTACCCGTGAGAAACCAAACACTTTATGTGACAACTGAAGTTCTTACTGCTAATGGAACAGTGGTGTTAATATTAAATACACAGGTTTCAATTTCATATTTTTGGAAATATAAAGAAGCAGGGGAATGAGAAGGGATCTATCTGCCTTCTGTATTCTGTTTCCTGCTCAGAAACATACACAATTATCCCTTAATTGGTTTGCTCCATTTTCCCAACATTTCCTTGTTTCTTTGCTTCTACTGTTCTCAACATTAGAGACAATGCAGACAAGAAATAAAAGCAACAAAAAGTGCACTGACACCATCTTAATTAGTTTCATAGTCAGTTTCCATAATAAAATTTCTTCTCTTCCTACCCCTCCAAAGAAATACATATACAGCTATTTTCAAAATGCTAAAAAAAAGCTCCTATAGGTTCATTGAAAAATTATTATACTCTTATTGTAACTAATAAATTCCCATGATGAAAAAATAGACTAAAACAATACAACTATTCATGATTTCAAGAATGAAGCAAATTAAACGACTGTGTGCCAATCTCTATTATGTAAAAGGCTTTGTAACATGGAATCCCTACAGATAATCCTGCGTTAGAAGTGTTTTAATTTATAATACAAAATTTAAAGAATATAGCTTCAGAATGAACATATTGAGGATTTATATTTAAAGTACATTTTACTGCTTTGTAAACATTACCACTGATGTTTGACCATAGTCATAAATGTATTATTTTCTAAATCTATATTTACAATAGTGCTAGTATGCTACTAACTTCTAAAAAAATTTAAGGATTCAATTATTATATCAATTACTTTTTTCTTAGAATGCACATATATGGCCATTAAGAAATCTGAATAAATTTTTAACGTAAGTCCCTAATTCACTGATATTTTTAAAAGAAAAATTCAATATTATAGATACAGTATCATCAACTTCAAAATCTGTTAAAAATATTAACTCAAAATCTGTACAACACTCTACATATTTTCACTAACTGCATACCAAGGAAACATAAGTTCATACCATACTACCGTTGATTTGATTATAGTTTATAGATGCTAGTCTGCTATAAATTAGCTTTATTTTATAACCTAAATTCATATAATTTCTTCTATGTAAAAGATATTCTGAATTGCAAGTGTAATTTTCAAATATTTATAATACTATCTTTTAATAAGTAGGAAGCATGTGACAGTTTACTTCATAAAGAATAATATTTTGGAGCCTGGCACGATAACCTGGTGGCTAAAGTTCTCACTTGTATCCGCCATGATCTCATATGGGCACCGGTTTGTATCCTGGCTGTTTCACTTCCCTTCTAGCTCCCTGCTGTGGCGTGGGAAAGCAGCAGAGGCTGGCCCAAAGCCTTGGGACCTTGCACTAGCTTCGCTCCTGGTTTCAGATCGGCTCAGCTTTGGCAGTTCTGGCTACTCGGGGAGTGAACCAGTGGATGGAAAATCCTTCTCTTTCTCTGCAAATCTAAGTTTCCAACAAAAATAAATAAAACTTTTAAAAAAGAATAATATTTAAAAATTAAATTAGGGAGACATTCATATTTCATTTCAATATTAGCAATCGTTAACTTCAATTTTCACACTTGTTTTTAACCAAAAAGCTGAGAAGTGGTTAACCTAATTTTGTTTTCACTTAAAGTACTGCTCTTTCAACTCTCAAATTGTGCAGAATGGCTTATGAAGGTCTCCCACAGCCAAGAATGGTAAGAAACTAAACTCTTTTGGTGGGTTAGAGATTTTCTGTTCTTAAACAATTAAGTTTAATTGTGCATAAAGCAATGTATAATAAAGATGTGACTATTTTAGAAAATTGAGTTCAGTAATAGAGACCAGTAACACTCCAGCATGAGAGCAAATCAGTTACCGCACAGAAGGCATTATTTTGACCCTGCAGAAATGCCCAATTCTCCCTCTCAGGGTCCTCAGACAAAAAGCACTGTGAAAGAGTAAACAGTTGCCACACAGGCAGGACCAGGTCAGGAAACGGCCTGAAGCCCAGAACTAGTTTTTCCTGTGAGGGCAACAAGCACCCAGCTCACTTCGTCCAGCACCTGCAGTCTCCCCAGATCCCATGAGCAGAAAGCTGGGTAAGAAGCAGAGTAACCAGAAACGGTACCAAGCAATCTTGTATGTCGGCGTTCCAAGAGGTCACTTAAGTTGCTGTGTAAAATGTCCATCCCGAAAGAAAAAATTTAAATGCAGAAAACATACAATTAAAAATATGGAAGATTCTACTATAGTTTAACAAAAGAAATTGAAGAAAGAAAGGCAGTTTTTCTCTGAAGAAAAAAAAATTTTTTTTAGTGTGATAAGAAACTTGTATTAGCAGAATGCTGAAACAAAGAAAAGGAGAACTAGGGCCCAGCACGGTGGCCTAGCAGCTAATGTCCTCGCCTTGCATGTGCCAGGATCCTATAAGGCCACTGGTTCTAATCCTAGTGGCCCCACCTCCTATCCAGCTCCCTGTTAGTGGGCTGAGAGCAGTAGAGGATGGCCCAAATCCTTAGGACCCTGCACCCACATGGGAGACGCGGAAGAAGGCTCCTGGCTCCTGGCTTCAGATCAGCACTACTCCAGCCATTGTGGCAGCTTGGGGAGTGAATAAACGAACGGATGATCTTCCTCTTTGTATATCAGCCTTTTCAATAAAAAAAAAAATAAATCTTTTTTTTAAAAAAGGAGAACTATGAGAATTTGTTGAATGACAATACTATTGTAAGACGTAATAAAATGATGCTGCTAATGGTTGCTTTCTTGTTTTTTTTTTTTCCTAAAAGTTTAAACAAGTTATGCTGTACAAAATGTGGTAAAGGAGCAAATGATAGCTTATAAGAACTGAATTTTGTATATCTATCAGAAGATATACTCAGTGTATTTCCTGCCCTAAGACATAAACCAGCAATTATTTTGTAAATAGAAAATTTGCAAACTTGTATATTTCCACATCATTCCCTTCACTTTATCATTAACTAAAAATAACATTTTGCCTTTCAAGATACATTAAACAAAATACCTGTTTCACTTAAGACAATATTAGCTATCCTTCTCATGACTTCTTTCTATAATAACTCAGAACATTTTAAGAACAAAGAGGTCCCATTTTTCCCATTCAACCTAATAGCAGCTCAACTAAATTATAAATAATAAAACACCTTGCTTAATTTCCATTCAATGTTGGAAGACACTACTAAAATTATGAAGTATTGCTTTCTAATAGTATAACTCTGTTTGGTACTTTTCATAAAATAAGCACAGTACTATCCTTAAAAGAAATACAATACCAAATAGACCTCTAGCTTGAACTAAAAAAGCATATGACCATATAAATTATTACTGATAAGTTTATATTTCCTTGCCTGATTGAATTTATTACAATATATATTATGTAGAGATGTAACTAAACTTTAAAAAATTTATTTATTTATTTGAGAAACAGAGTTACAAAGAGAGACAGTGTGGGTAGACAAAAATCTGGATGGCAAACCTTGCCGGTGTCAAACTGTAATCAACTACAACCCCCTGAGAAAGCTCCAAGAATTCAGGGCAAAGTCCCTGATGCAGCTGGAATGGGAAAACATGGGTGTAGGAACTCCCTTGTTGGAACACGATTAGGCGAGGATAATAGGGATCCTGGACAGCGTGAAGCCATAGCCAGCTGTAAACCTGTGAGAAGGCCCTGGGAACTCAGGGCAAAGGTCCTGAGGCAGTTGGAACAGAAAAGCATGGGTGTAGGAACTCCTCAAACTTTGATAACAGATCTCCCCCGCCTGCTCTTCATTCTTAGTAGCCTGATGGGACACATTGTTTACTGAATGACCCACTTAGCTGCTAGCCCACAAATCACATCCTGTCTCAAACCTTCTTCCCTTATGCCTATGTGGCCCTCAGTCTTCAAGTATTTTGCTGTTAATAAACTTTGGTTATTGACCATCAGTCAGTAGTCCAAGTTTATGATGATTGGCTCCATGCACCAAGTCCTCTTGCCACAGGAAAGCAAACAAAAGAGGGGGAGGCAGAGAGAGAGCCATCTTCCATCTAGTGGTTCACTATGTAAAAGGCCTCAATAGCTGGAGCTGGGTCAGTCCGAAGTCAGTATCCAGGAGCTTCTTCCAGGTCTCCCAGATGGGTGGCAGAGGACAAGGACGTGCATCAGCTTCTGCTGCTTTCCCAAGCACTTTAGCAGGGAGCTGGATCATCAGAACTGGAGCAGCTGGGATTCAAACTGATGCTTATGTGGTATGCCAGTATTCCAGGCAGCAGCTTTACTTGCTACACTGCAGTGTTGGTCTCTCAAACTTCTTTAAAAGATTATTTATCAAACGTGTGGGCTTGCTTCTGTGTGAATTGTAGTACATGTCAGTTTCTCTGGAGAACTTGGGGGTGGTGACAGGCCTAGCAGGAGTCAGGCTGGCAGAGGGCAGGGCTGGACCAGGCTGCAGAACCTGC